ACTAGGATATGTTACTAGTCTTGTTGTTGATCTTGCTATTCTAATAGAGGTATAAAGTTTTCTTTTGGTGGAAAAAGTATTCTTTTCTGTTTCCATGTGAACATGTTTTTTACTTTACCAAACTGTGCAGGGCTCTAAATTTATCTTATCTGCCGTTTATTAGTGACCTTTGATCCCATTGGATACCATTCTCTATGTGTTGGCCAATGAGAATGGTTATCAGGTCACATGCTATTTATCCCATTGGAATATATCCTAATGAGAATGTGTTGGAATATCTACGAATCACCTGATGTCCCATGAACTTTGGAGTTAAAACCTATTTCACAAGTATACAAAGCTTAGACAACTGATCCAAGAGAATAACCAGGCATTATACTCTTTAGACAGACATTCTTAGCAAGTCTGCTAGTAAAAATGTCAATAAGTAGTAGACACCTGGAACTGTTATATACGTAGTATGATCTTTGGGCTCAATATTAGATTTGTTGGCTGATAGTTCTTCATAAAGCAGATTATGTTAATACCATAACCCATATTTGAAATGCAGGCAAAAGAAGAGGCAGAACTGCCAGAGTATATCCTCGGAACTGTGAGGCTAAACCGTGTGAGGCTTGACTCTGCTACCCCATTAGATGTTTGAGGATTCATTTGGTTCGATTATGAAAAGCAGAGGTTGAGTGGAACATACTTTCGTCAAAGCAATAGTAGTATGACCATAATTTGAAATATTGATGTTTGTAGCTCATTAAAAATGACAATGGATTGTATCATTGTAAATTTTGCTATCTGTGAGAGTATTAGGTAATGAGTGTTCGGTCGTTATGACAAAAAAAACCAAAAGGGAGGGATAGCATCAATAGCATCGGTTGTTATGAAGTGTATGTTATGATAAAGAACCTTGACGCTCATCTTTTGTCGTCAATTAAATACTTATTTGATTGGGGCGGGGTTGTTGCAAGTAATCTCTTGGCACACTAATATTGGTAATCTCAATTTCCAGATCTCTTGTTGAGATAGAGATACCCAGAAGAAGATAGAATTAATTACATAATTATAACTAAAATGAAGTCTGTTTACAAAAAAAATGACTAATGACTGGAGTAGTAATGAAATTATAGTAATTTGGTTCAAATTTTAAACTTAAGTTACTACAAGTCTTTAACATAATAACATTACATTGTACTCCCTCCGTCCCAATTTGATGATACCATTGCAGTTTACGATATTTGACTGACGATAAAGCAACCAGATCATTGTCCGCACTCAAATTAGTTTTAGGGGAAAAAAATTACATATTGAGAAATTACATTAAAAGCTTTACAAAGTCGCAAACACCTAAATCAAATTTGATAAAAATTTGATATATAAAGTAAGAGATTAAAAGTAATTTGTGTTGACCATTTGAATAAGAACTGGTACCATCAAATTGGGACAGAGGTAGTAGTAATTAAGTCATATTTGTGTAAATAAGTTTTGTTTTAGTAATATTTTTGTAAAAAACTTAGAGGGATCATTTTTTACCTTTCCCAATGAGGCTATGAATATGAAGTATGGGCTTCCTCTGTCACACTACATATTACTTCCCTATTACTTGTTTATTATTCATACCATCAACACAAAATTTTCATTATCAAATTTTGAGTATTAATTTTTTTTTTTATCAATATGAATTCGGTTGTGCTTCAATAGAATTTCAAGTGTGTTTTAAATATGTTGGGTAAACATGATCCAGCATTCCAGCATCTTCCCATTTACTATCATGACTTTGCAGGATTCTCGTACACTCATTTACCGCCCACGTAACATAAAGACTCAATAAAAAGGTTTTGTATTGCACAATTAGATGAACAATAAAAAAGTTTGCATTATTTCACTCCCTCAAATTAGAACTATTTCACTCTAGTCTCTACCTCACTTTCTTATGTGAAGCTTTTTTCTCTTGCCTCAAATGAAAGGTTACATCTATTTATACTACTCACATAGTCACATATGATTAGAGATTGGACTTTCTCTAGAATCATCCAATATCTCTCTATATTTTGGATTCTTTTAAGAATTCTTCATAAGCTTTCATGATTTTCTTAAAGAACCTAGAAGAGTCCACACTTATTTAGAATACTCTAGACAATTCTGCAACATTTCAAACTTTTCTAAATATTTTTACAGTTCTCAAGTTCTCTAAAGACTAGAATATTTTAGAAGACTATTCAATATTCTACTCACATGGATAATATTGTATTTTTCTAGATAACTTCACACTATTTGCACACATCTCCATTAGTTCTATAATTCTCTAAAATTTCTCCATCTTAGAAAATATTTGGAAATGTTGAATTATATCTTACCAATTCCTCTTTGAAATTATTTTTTTAGAGCAGTCTTCAAAATTTTGACTTTATTTTCTCTACTTCCTCCACTCGATCTTCTTTTCACTACTCTCTTCATTCCAAGAAGCAATCGTGCTACTCGCTTTTTCATCCTTTCATTACGAAATGTCTCCCCTTAAAATCTTGAATATTTATATCAACTCTCACAACATAAAGTTGGTCTTCCTATACTTCAAAAAAAAAGTTGGTCTTCCTATGAAAGAGTGGGATCTCAAATTCATTTGACATGCTTCATGCAATCACACTGACATGAGATCTTTCCATTAAGAAAACACACTAGTTCCTCCACCATTGAAATCCTTGGTTGTGATACCACGGTAGGGTAAACACGACTTGACCTCTTCCCAAGATTGTGAGCTTGCAAGACTCTTGTACGCTCACCCACTCACACATAACACAAAGATTCGATCAATAAGGGGTTTGTATTACACAATAAATGTGCAAAAGAGAGTTTACAAATGAATGAGTAGCTTATTTCACTCTTTCTAATTAGATTTACCTCATCTTCTTATGAGAAACGTTTCTTTCTTGTCTCCAATGAAAAGCTATGCTACGTATTATCTATCTATTTATGTCGTTGGCGCTTTAGAGCCCGTCTTTTATCCGTGATTTCCAGCTTATTAGTTAACATTTTTACCAAACACATAACTTGTAATTTTGCGCGTTGAATTGTGTAAGAATTAGAATAAATAAAAATGGAGTTACTTTTATGTGACTGAATTTGTGGAAGAGAACTATTTTAACTATTTTACACGGAGTATAGTCTTTTCTTTATCTTATAAATAAATAAATAAAATACATTTTAAAATGCATGTTCGGAAATAAATTATTTTTTGGAGTAGTAATATCATAAATGAGAACGTAAATATATTGAAGTATGCATGCATCGCTAATGACAAATTAGCAAACGTTGTAACTTGTAACCTCTTTCATATTATCTAATTATAATTACTATTACTATATATCGTTCATCTTCTTTGATATATCAACAATAGCACCCCACTATAGGGCCTGCGTATACAGGGTTATTCAATTCGTATAAGAATGGAATAGAAAAACAAAAAGGGAAAAGTAGGGAAAAAGTACTTGTGGTTAAGTCCGTTTTCATATAAGACCATGTGTTTCATTCTTTATCAAAGTAGTTTATATGTTTGAATTCTGTTATCACAAGAGGGTCACGCCGTTAAAAACGTCTGAAAAGACCATTAAAAGTAACTCTGATTTTCAAAAGTGTCCTGAAAATTAAAAGAAAAATACCGAAAGGTGCGCCTCGTCAAGATGACCTCCAAACCACCTTCGCCTTTGGATTTTTCAGATCTGTTTGAATTATTTTTTAAAAATAATTTCACTAATATCACTTTTCCGGTGGACTTTCCGGTGACAAGGGTGACTAATAACAAAAAAGAAAGATGGCCTAGCGATCGTCTTATATAGGCGCACCTTCCGGTATTTTTCTTTTAATTTTTCCGACACTTTTGAAAATCGGAGTTACTTTTAACGTACAGATATAACGGCCTTTTTCAGACATTTTTAACGGTGTGACCCTCTTGTGATAACGGAATTCAAACACATGAACCACTTTGATAAAGAATGAAATACATGACCCTATCTGAAAACGGGTCTAACCACAAGTATCTTTTTCGTACTTTTCGGCCAGGAGATGATTCTGTTACGTAGCTAATGGTCTCTCGCCTACAAGGCTACAACAGATATAAGAGTAGTCACACTAATACCATCTACAAACTACCGTTATAATCTTATGCCTACCTTATTAAATAAATAAATTACACTTACTTTATTAATTTAATATCAACTATATAAGGATATAAGCTGACATTTTTTAATAATCGTATTATCTCTTCATGCCCTAATGCTATTCATGCCCTAATGCTAGTGGAACATGAGTAGTATTTTGTACTTCAATGTCAGAGAATAACATGTCAATAGTGTATCACTACATTGTACCATATAAACGGCGTCCATCGTTTTGATATACTCCGTACTACGTAAGTTATTGCTTTAATTTGTTCATAGTTCCTACCAAACAAAGTGCGAAATAGAATTGAATTGCGCTATTTCTAATTCTCTTTTTTAAAATCGGTGCATCTTTCTAGCTGGTTCCAAAATAATGTGACAATGAATAGTTTCGAAAAGTAATGCAATAGTTATTTGGACTTCAAATGGAAAAATAAAAACTCGGGGGAACATTTTTTTTTTCTTTTGACATAAGAGAAAACATGCACCAGCCGGGAATCAACTCGGGGGAACATTAAAATGGTATAGATTAATTTATATTTGTGTTACTTTATATTCCACAAACATCACATGCTTAACACAAATACGTACAAGACATCGCCAAGAGATTTTTGGCATAAATTAAATGATGTGGAGCACAACATGAAACAAAACTTGGATGCCAATCAAACGTTTGGTAGCCCATTTATTAAGGAAAACTTACGTCAATAAGAAGTCCTGCTATTTTTTGGGGTCAAAAAGTGATGAAAATTAAAGCCACGAAATAAATTAATGGTTTGTAAGTAATGGTGTGAAGACTTCATTCATTGTCATGGTATATAAATAAGAGGCCATTACACTCTAAAACACTTTAAGGCCTCCTACTATTCTCTTCTCTCTTTTAAGGCCTCAATGGTCTGAAACGAAGAGAAAGAGATTTTAACTCTTAGAAAGAAAATATAAAAATATATTAGTAATAATAAAGAAGCTAGGAGGGAAGATTGAGGGAAATTTGATTTGCTATATTCTTTCTTCCTAAGCTTTCACCTTTATTAAAAATTGCATTTTCTTTCTAAAGAAAAATACAATCTTTTGAATTGGCCTTTCAATCTTTACTGTTCTTGCTCTCTCATTTTGGCCCCTCATGGCGTCCACCATATCCTTGCAAGATGTTGAAAATGAGCAAGTTGATCTTGTAAGTATATACAATCTCCCAAGTGTGTGTATATATTAAGAGCAATATATATAATTTCTTATATATATATATATTGTTCTTTTAAATTTGCATGTGATTAGGACATTTATTATAAAGCATTATCACAACCTCTAAATTTAAGAAATTCGAATGTGTAGTGTAATAGTGTATATAAGAATATAACATACAAACCCCATTTTTATTTTATTAAAAAACTACTTTAGTGTTTTATTTTGGAAATAAAAACAAGATTATATTTAAAACATTTTTCTTGATAGAAACTGTACATAATTTTTAACTATTTCTGCAAGAGGGTTTTTCAGGAAATATCATGTAGTACTGAAATAAAATTTACTTAAAAAAATATGACTAACAATTACAGACTATGTTAAGAATTATTTTATTTTGTGCAATTGCGTGAGTTATTCTTGTATTAGTGTATTAAATAGATCAGTTTTTAACCGGACCAGCTTCGTGTTTGTGCCCAGAAGCGATTTGTTATACGGAAGCCTAACTTAAAGATATTATACATCTAAAAGCTAAGCTTCCGTAACTCTAACTTTAGCAGAAAGGCATTCACGACAATTTTGTTAATTAGATATGATTGTCATGAACGAGGGCTGTTCTTGTACATATGGATGTACAGGAAGCTCCGTACGGACAAAGACATCCGAGGCCCTTCCCGGTCGAATTTTTTGATGAAGTTTTTTTTAACATATTCTTCATCAAGTCTAGTTTATCCATACCAAATTTCAGTTCAAAACTCGATCGGGAAGGCAGTCAAATAAATTCTTGAAATATACTGCACATTATATGTGCGCAGAATGCGCCATATATTTCAAGAATTTATTTGACTGCCTTCCCGATCGAATTTTGAGCTGAAATTTGGTATGGATAAACTAGACTTGATGCAGAACATGCTCAAAAAAATTCATTAAAAAATTCCATCCGGAAGGGCCTCTAATGGCTTTGTCCGTACGGAGCCCCCATACATCCATATGTACATGATCATTCCTCTAAGTTACCATAACTAAGAACTTACTACTATAGTCAATTATATTTCCACCATGCATGTCCACTGTATATATAAACATTTTGATTGCAGGAGAACATTCCAATAGAGGAAGTGTTTGAGACGCTGAAATGCAGGAGAGAGGGGTTGACAGATGCAGAAGCAAAAGAAAGGCTTGTAATCTTTGGGCCAAACAAGCTTCAGGAAATCAAGGAAAGCAAGTTCCTCAAGTTCATGGGCTTCATGTGGAATCCTCTCTCTTGGGTCATGGAATCTGCTGCTATTATGGCCATTGCTTTGGCTAATGGAGGAGTAATAATAATATATTCCCATTTTAATTACACTACATGCATAATTTCTTTGTCCTTTCTTTAATTTTTATTAAAGTTGAATTTTTTCTAAGTCAAACAATAAAAAGACCAATCAATAACACAAACTCTCAAGCAATGACTTAGATGATTATTATGTTCATGCATGAGGATACAAAGTAAAATCTTATAACAACATATTTGAAGAATCTAAATTTTTTATGGGATCTAAATGAATTGTACTTGAACACAAAGTTGTGTTGTTATATACTAGTAGTTCTGATTGAATTAAGATTTATGGTGATCAGGGGAAGGGTCCAGATTGGCAAGATTTCGTTGGAATCGTAGTGCTGCTGATCATCAACTCCACCATTAGTTACATTGAGGAAAACAATGCTGGAAATGCAGCTGCAGCTCTCATGGCAAACCTGGCCCCCAAAACCAAGGTCCTCAGAGGCGGCAATTGGAGCGAGCAGGATGCTGCCATCTTGGTCCCTGGCGATATCATCAGCATCAAGCTCGGAGATATCGTTCCCGCCGATGCTCGCCTCTTGGAAGGGGATTCCCTGAAGATTGATCAGGCTGCTCTCACCGGTGAATCCTTGCCTGTCACTAAAAATCCCGGTGATGTCGCCTTCTCGGGCTCCACTGTTAAGCAGGGAGAACTAGAGGCCGTTGTTATTGCCACCGGCGTCCATACCTTCTTTGGAAAGGCTGCTCATCTTGTTGATTCCACCAACAACGTCGGCCACTTCCAGAAGGTAATGCATCAAAATTCAAGTCATTAAATAGTTCACGACTAAAAGGCTGCTCATCTTGTCATTTTTATGCAGCATTTGGACAAATTTATATATCATGCTTTAACTAATTATTGTTAACTCGAAATGGTCAGAGTTCCAACTATAAATTTTCATTTGAGTGTATGCGATATTTGCTTTCGGTGCTCATATATGGCTCGTAATTGTGCAAATGTCTATTGTCTGTGGAGTTGGTAAGTTGGTTGGGTTGATAAGTCTAAATGTCATAATTTTTACTTGCAGGTTTTGACTGCTATTGGGAATTTCTGCATCTGCTCAATTGGTGTAGGAGTATTGATTGAGATTATTGTGATGTTCCCAGTACAGCAAAGGAATTATAGGCAGGGCATCGACAATCTACTTGTGTTGCTCATCGGAGGGATCCCAATTGCCATGCCCACAGTGTTGTCTGTGACTATGGCCATTGGATCTCACAGGCTATCACAGCAAGGGGCCATCACTAAGAGGATGACTGCCATTGAAGAAATGGCTGGTATGGATGTGCTCTGCAGTGATAAGACTGGTACACTCACCCTTAACAAGCTCACAGTGGATAAGAGCTTGATTGATGTCTTCATTAAGGATGCCGATAAGGAGGCTGTATTGTTGCATGCCGCTAGGGCATCCCGGGTTGAGAACCAGGATGCTATCGATGCTTGCATCGTCAACATGCTGAGTGATCCCAAGGAGGTATATTGTACATATATGCTTTATTTTCCTTGTTTTCCTTTCATGCATTTTGAACTACTGAAATGCTATTTTTCTATTTCTTGTGATTTTTTTTATAGGCGAGAGCAGGTATTCAAGAAGTGCATTTTCTGCCTTTCAATCCAGTAGATAAGCGTACTGCAATTACATATATTGATAGTGATGGGAACTGGCACAGGGCTAGCAAGGGCGCTCCTGAGCAGGTATTATTATTATTATTATTGTTATTATTATTGTTGTTGTTGTTGTTATACATCTGCCATCTATTTGAATAAGTCTGGTTTATAAATTAAATGAATGAATTCATAGTGCCTCATCACCTTCCTAATGTTTTTCCTAGATAATTGAACTCTGTGGCCTTAAAGGAGATGATCTGAAGAGGGCTCATGGAGTCATTGACAATTTTGCCAACCGTGGCCTTCGTTCATTAGCCGTAGCAAGACAGGTGAGTGATAAAAGAGTAAAAAGTCACTGGTTAAATGTTAAAAGCACATACTTATAAACTAAATGTGATTATATATGTGTAAAAAATAATTGTAGACTGTGCCTGAGAAGAACAAGGAGAGTGGTGGATCAGCATGGGAGTTTGTCGGTTTGTTACCTCTTTTTGATCCTCCAAGACATGACAGTGCTGAGACAATCAAGAGGGCTCTTGAACTCGGTGTCAATGTGAAGATGATCACTGGTGATCAGCTTGCCATTGGTAAAGAAACAGGCCGAAGGCTTGGCATGGGAACCAACATGTATCCCTCTTCCTCGCTTCTTGGACAGAGTAATGATGCTTCCATTGCTTCAATCCCTATTGACGAGCTCATTGAGAAGGCTGATGGCTTTGCTGGAGTCTTCCCTGGTAACTAATTAACTAACTACTAACTGTGGAGAAAGTATATTTAATTGATTGAAAAATGAGAATTACAAACCCTATATATAAAACAGGAGTTTGAGCTACAAAAGGAAAGTAACTATAGAGATAAGTTAACCTATGCACATAAACTAAATATTATGAAATATAATTGCAAGAGTCCCGCACCAGTAAATTAGAGAGAATGTGCTTACCAAAAAATAGAGAGAATGATGAGTTAAATTCATAGTGTTGAACTATTTAATATGTTGGTTTGGCCCAAGGGCCCTATGACCCAGTAGAGTGACCACAATGCAATCCTGGATTATATCAAAAATCAAATGAGATACATTATTTCCTAATTGTTATTGTTGAAAATATTTTGATTGAACAATATATATTAGAATAGATCTGGTCTTCCCTGGAACTAACTAGAAAAGGGTTTGTGGCTCTTCTATTCTACCCTAATGTGTGTGTGAATGTGTGTGTTTGTATAGAGCACAAATATGAGATTGTGAGGAAGTTGCAAGAGATGAAACACATCTGTGGGATGACCGGAGATGGTGTAAATGATGCCCCAGCACTGAAAAAGGCTGATATTGGAATTGCAGTGGCTGATGCCACAGATGCTGCAAGAAGCGCATCGGACATCGTGTTGACTCAACCAGGTCTAAGCGTCATTGTGAGTGCTGTCTTAACCAGCAGAGCCATCTTCCAGAGGATGAAGAACTACACCATCTATGCAGTTTCCATCACGATACGCATTGTCATGGGGTTCACGCTCCTTGCCCTCATATGGAAGTTTGATTTCTCGCCATTCATGGTCCTCATCATTGCCATCCTCAATGATGGAACCATCATGACCATTTCCAAGGATAGAGTAAAGCCTTCTCCTATGCCTGACTCCTGGAAGCTCAATGAGATATTTGCCACCGGTGTCGCTTTGGGGACCTACCAAGCTCTTATGACTGTCATTTTCTTCTACCTCGCTGCTGATACAGATTTCTTCACTGTAATCTCCTTTTCCATTTTTTTAACGATATTATCGCTGCTAAGCCTGCTAGGAGTAAGACATGAGTCATGTGCATAAATAGAAGCATCTTTGTTCTGTTTCTACAATAGGTCCCATTTTATCTCAAGAAAAGTATAGGAGTAGTGAATAACTCTTCTTTTAGGGGTGAATGAGTCATATTTTTAGGAAAAAACAACCATGGTCATATATTTAAAGAAAGTTATGTTGTAGTCATCTACTCCTCTTTATAGAAATTTATTTTCTTTTTCTAACATTAACCTCATTTGATGACTACATAGCTCATGACACATTTTCTTGTCTTCAGGACGTGTTCAAGGTTAAATCCATCAAGGATTCACCTTATGAGTTGACAGCTGCTGTCTATCTCCAAGTTAGCATAATCAGTCAAGCACTCATCTTTGTGACAAGGTCACACAGCTGGTCCTTTGTTGAGCGCCCTGGCATCTTGCTTGTTGTTGCCTTTTTTGCCGCACAATTCGTGAGTGGCTTGCTTCTTGAGAAATGCTATTGAGTATTGGAATAAATATGGTCTCTTTGGAGTTTGAACTAAACAATTTTTTACTCAATTTCATCTTTTTGGAATAGGTGGCTACACTTATTGCTGTGTACGCAAACTGGAGCTTTGCAAGAATCCAAGGGATTGGCTGGGAATGGGCTGGAGCTATCTGGATTTACAGCATAATCACCTATTTCCCTCTTGACATTCTCAAGTTCGTCACTCGATTAGCATTGAGTGGGAAGGCCTGGAAATCCATGATGGATAACAAGGTATAGTTTTACAGAAATATGTTTTTGCCTCTTTAAAAAATATATCCATGATCCGACTTGCCGAACGAGTAATAACATATGTATGCATCCTTCTGGACTGACTCGTCAACTTTTCAATGCTGGGAAAAATAGACCGCTTTCACGTCAAAGAAGGATTACGGAAGGGGTGAGAGGGAAGCAAAATGGGCTGTGGATCAGCGTACACTTCATGGTTTGCAGACTGCTGCAGCCCCTAACCAATGCAATGAGGAAAGCTATAGGGAATTGTCTGAGATTGCAGAACAAGCAAGGAAACGCGCTGAAGCTGCTAGGTAAGTGTGTATTTGTAATACATGTGCTCTCATCCCTTCTTAAAGAAATATTGGCACAGATGTGAGTAAAGATAAAACCAATGGAAAAATTCAAAAGTTTTACAGCCTATTATCATGATGGTATTTTGGCAGCTATTTTAGTAGTGACTGTTCTAACCATGTAGGCATAATTTTTTTATGAATCTTGTCTTGACAAAATTATAGGGAAACCTCATAAATAAATAAATAAATAATAACCATCATTTACGGGATTACATCTGATGCGTCTAACATTCTTAGTGCCAAATTCGGAATTGCAGGCTTATGGAGCTTCACACTCTGAAGGGGCATGTGGAATCAGTGGCCAGGCAGAAGGGTTTGGATATCAACACCCTCCAGCAGCATTACACTGTCTAAAGTAGAGCAAGAGCAAACATATACTCCGTATATTAACAAAAGACAAATCAAGCCATTTTTATAAAGGGGAAAACATCTACCGTCAATATTTAGTTCTACCTTTTTTCACAGTTTATTGTTGTGGGTTAGAAGACGTCAGATGATATTCGACATATTGAATGATTAAGAGAGGATCTCATAGAAGTTAGGACAAACACCAATGCTACCCGATGTACAATCAAACCAAAAAACTGGAGGAAAAAATGATGACAATTTGTTTTTTCATTGTAATTATGGCAGAGTATTTAAAAATGAATTATCTTTTCTCTTGTAAGGCCTTGCAATATTGTTCGGGTTAGTAGGGGTGGATCTGGGTCAGTTCCGGACAAGCAAGTCGTCTTACCAAATCGAAACTGGAAGTGGGTATATCAGACTGATCATCCAAGCCCAAAATCGTTCTCGACAGTTGAATCCTAATATTTTTTTTTAGATTGTTGTTACTCAATGATTATTGAAGGTACAGAATATATATGAAATTATACAAGAAATTGTAATATAGGAAGAATAATATAAGAAACAAATAATAAGATATTAAAATATTGTGTAGAAACATAGAAAGAACTAAAGGTTAAGAACTGACAGAAATAATGAGTTGTAGATTTACTTTTTTTGACAATAATACAATCTGGGAGAATATTGAGCCGAACGTAGCGATCACACATAAAACCTGCAACCTTTGCTCAACCATGGGGATTTAAAAACTTTTTAAACATGGCCCGTTGCTAGTATATAGTGGAAACATAGCCGATTAGGTAAAATAAATTTACAGAGTATATGTGTGTTTGAGTAAAATAACAGAAACATAGCGGGTTAGTTGAAATAAATTTCATATAATGTGTGTTTGTGTTTGCGCACCACACCTTTACGGCTTTACTTCCCTTGCTCCCCTCCCCAAATTCTCCAACCAAACAAGTCCAAAAGTGTCATAATCTTTTGTAAATCACACATACTTGTATTATTTCCTGAAAAAATAAAAAAAGAAGGGAATGTAAAACAAAAAAACGACTATTTGTTAGTACAACATGAACTCAAAACTCCACTGCAGTCTGCAGACTCTGCAGCTGTACTGTTGTAGAATAACAAGAATTGGTGCTGCTAGTCAACTGGGATCTCCACCTCCATCTTCAAGCCAGGATGATCAAACACCTTAATAAAGTCATCCACAGATAATAAGGAGTCCCTTGTATAACCAGCCTCGTGCAAAACACGGCTCAAAACATCCTCTCTTTGTTTATCAGACATGTATGCACCACTTAAATCCTGAAGCACCGCAATCATGTCATCGAATGAGACCTTCCCATTCCCATCAGAATCATATACCTTGAAGATAAGTTCAACTTTTTGCCTCATGCTTGCTTTGGCACTAAAGGCTGACAAGAAAGCTACAAACTCCTTGAAGTTTAATCCATCTACCATCTTGAGCAATCTCTGGGAGAGGGGATTCATGGCAAACTCGGGAACCGACAGAAACTCATCAGCTGATATGAACCCCTTCGCGCTCCTATCAAGCTGGCAGAACCTCTGATACAGTGACAGTATTTCTAGCTGATTAAAGAGATGGTTACAGTGGTCTTGGACGTCTTCAATGTCATACTGGGTTAACATTGAAGAAGCATTACCCATTCTCAAATATCACTTATTGCTGCCAGGACGTTTCCGCCAGCAGATTGGGAGACGGAGAAATTCGGATTCCAAATCCCAACTGCGCGATGCCCAAATGAGTGAAGTAAAAAAACAGATTCTGACACAATCAGAAACATAAAACTAAACGTAGCATTCAAAGATTCAATAAACGGACTAATAAACTAGTAAACCATCGAAATTCAAATTTCAGTAATGAATAATAAGACAAAAACATCTGCCAATTTTAACAGCTTCTGGCTTTCTTCGCCTTTATCGGGAGAATGAAGAGTCTGATTTAGAAAAACGGAGGCAGTAGACAATGAAGGAAGGGATCGGAAGCTTACCGGAGATCTGAAGCTCAGAGCACAGGTCGAAGAAGAGGAGGCAAACGATGAATCGGGCAGATGGCTCTGATATTTTTTTGAGTGCAGTAGATATATTCGGCTTGCTCCAATTCCCGAATGTAGAATGTGAGATTGGGAATTCGGATATACGTTAATCGGCCCAAAATCACTTTTTTTTTTTAGAAAAAGAACGATTTTATTCATAAAAATAAAAAAGTACGGTGCAAGAACCCAAAAAAAGGAAAAAAATGCATAGAATAAAAGAGAACGTAAAAAACTAAAGCTAGACCCAATGGAAATCTTTGGATTGTGATCTAATACTCATGTTGTGTCGCCTTTTGTTTTGTTGAGATTTCCTGTAAAGCTTGAGTTGCGTGTTTAGATTGTTTGTTGGCAAACAGTTCTCAGGAGTGACGAACTTTGCTTTGCGGCAAATCGATCTGTCGAATTTGGAGTTCCCAATTCCTTCTTGGTGTGATAAAGGAGGGCGACGGTCATCGGCCCAAAATCACTTTTTCATCACCACTCACTAATTTTGAATTCTCAAAAACTATTTAGTATTTGTTCAATGTTAATATCAACATTTTTGAACTGGGATGAGATTCGAACTTGTGATCTCCTCCTTGAGTCATTCCAACAATTCATTTAGTTCACATTGTGATTTGTGATCCATACACCACACACAAGAAACTTCAATTCATTAATTATAAAGAAATTGAGAGAACTACCAAATAAGCTCTCGAACTTACTACCAAATGGCTATGTCCGTTCGTCGTCATTTGAGGTGGTTCCTAGTGAAATTTTTTAATGAATTTTTTTGAGTATCTTATTCATTAAGTTTAGTTCACTCACACCAAATTTCAGCTACAAATTCAATCAGGAAGGCAGTCAAATGAATTTTTGAAGATAACTATGCAGTTAAGCAGCGCAGTATATTTCAGAAAATCATTTGACTGCCTACTAGGTTGATTTTTTAGCTGAAATTTGGTATGAGTAAACTAAACTTAATGAATAAGATGCTCAAAAATTTTAATCAAACAATTCCACTGGGAACCACCACAAATGGCGAACTGTTAGTTTTTAGTCACTGAAAAGATATTAAAAAGAAAAAGTGCTGGCTGTTTGGTAAAAAGATGATTGTTTGATTTAGTTTTTTTGGTATACAAGCTGTAAACACAAATTAATACTAAAAGTCACAAACTTTTCTCAAATGCTACTCGCTCTAGCGTCTAAAAAAATCTTTTATTTTTTGAAAAGTTTTTAAAATTTGTCATGTCAAACATACAACTAGAAGCTTTTAGAGACCTTTTCACAGTACAAAAGCTAGAAGGCAAATACCGTTAGGAATTAATTTACGCAACACGAAGAACAATTAAAAAACACACGAAATTTGGTAACTCAATTCGCCACGAATGACTACGTCTGGGGCGCTACCAAGCCAGGAATATTATTGCTATTTTCGGATTCAAGAGATTACAAAGAGAGAGAGCTTGTATTTAACTATTTATAGAAAGTAAAACCTACCCCTAATCCAACTAGGAGGCTCGGCCAAAAAGAAAAAAGAAAAAAACCGTACGACCCATCTGTACGGAATCCGTACGGCCCACCCGTACGGAATTCTACGGAAAACTTGATCGTCAAAAACGGACCCAAAAAAATTCGGCCCCCCCAACCCCCTGTCCAACTCCTCGTCAAGTGGGATCGACGGATAGGGCTTGGTTGGTTAGACAGTCTCTAACACCTTACAAATACTGAGATACTTGTGTGTGCCAAACATGCACTTATTTTATCTAACCCTAAAAAAAGCTCTAAATGGACACATGGAACTAAAGGAATGACAATTTAAATGATTCCGCCTCCAATAACTTTAACCGATGGGTTTTCCCTCTATTATCGAAAAAGCTTAAAACCAAACATATTCTAAAGAAAGATATTAGTTACGGCCGTGTTAATGACATTATATTTTACAGAGTAGAGCAATTTAAATAGTCATACTTCTTTCTTTGGCTTTACGAGACAAGCTAAGAAAGTTTTTACTTATTTTTTAGGAACTTGACCACAAATGGAAGTTTCATGAATGTATGGGGATTGGGGAACATTTATATTGAATGATGCATTTCTTTATATTTAGAGTAATGCACTTATGTATGTAATAATTTCAAATAATACACACTATTGCTAATGTTAATTGAACTATGATATACGATGTTCATATAAATCAAAACTTGTTAATATGCGTACATAGAGATTCTTAACAACTCAACCACTTTTATCATGAGGCTTCTGGCATTCTTTCCAAATAAGACATGAAAGATGAAGGTCATATAATAGATTCATGAACCTCTACAAGTTCAAGAGCCTTACCATCCTGCAATTTGTTAAGTATCCGAAGTTTTCTAAGCTCCGTATAAGTGATGGGTTTATACAACCGTCGTGGATCAGATGCAAGAAGCTCTTGTGGTGGCTCTATTGCAACATCTTTGGGACCCAAAAGAAATGAAGCAATTGAGAGCCGCATTTTTGGTTCCTTGCACATCACCCCATGCCTTACATTGTAAAATCTTCCATTGCTCCAAATCTTGTAACCACTCAAAGAATAAAAACAAAACATTAAAAGTGATCAAAATCTTGCATTGAGCCTTGCTGCATGAGAAACATTACGATATCTTGCATTACAATTGTAACTAATCCCTTCATCTCTTATAACTTTGTCAAAGTACACTGACATATAGAACAATAAAGTCAAAGTTGTGTGGTTGAGATTTGTGCAGAAGAGAGAGGATTAATTAACGGTAACTATAACTTTTTTACTAAGAAGTGAAAGTGGCAAAGAAAGCGGGAGAACAAAAAGAAGGCCAGTTGAAAAAGTTATAAAGGACACAAGGAGTATTTTTCTCTTACTTCGGTTAGCCCGTTTAGAGCCTGTTTTTTCATTTCTCTTAAAATTGTCGTTTGAAGTATTTTTCGCACATAATGGGTAGAACATCTAAACAACTATTTGAGATGTTGATCTACTCCTCTTCCATAAAGTTTACATTTTTATGATGGAACTCCATATCTTAATATGACAACATTGTCGATTAAACTTCAACGAGCAATTGGATCCTGATAAGCTCGACTTAGTAATGAGCACAAATAAGGGAATTAAACTTACGGTGGCCATATCTCCAAGGTTAAGCAGGAGGCTACCAGGCAAGGGATCAACTACCACAATTTCTCCTGATCTCTTAATGACTTCTAATCCACCCACACTCTCATCATCTTGCAACACTGTAAGGAATCCAGAGTCTGTATGTACTATCACTCCAGATGAGCCTACACTCTCAGAGGTGAAGTGGTACTTGTTAATTCTGAACTGACAGGACCACCCTTCAAAAAGTTTACCTTTCATACCCAAACCTTCCGCTAATTTTCGTCCAATCTCCAACATCACTTCATGCACGGATGCATCATATTTCACTATTGTCTCTCTAAAAAGAACATCAAAACTCAAAGATAGTTACACTACTGTTATTTAAGAAATGATGTTCATACTTGGCAAATACTATGTATATGACTATAATGCACCCCAAGGACATTGATGGTAATGATATTCAAAAGTAATAAATAATCATATAATTAGTAATATAGCTGAAATTTTTATTCTGTTTCAAGTGAATAAAGTAAATCAGAATACAAGTGTGAAATCATACCCCATTTTGAAACAAGGTAAAGCTAGTGACCATTTTTTGTCACAATACTACATATAATATAGGAGGTTCCTTCCACGCCACTTTGAGGAAACACTAATTTAATGAGTGAGATAGCGAAATAAGTTCATATCTATCATATAAACACACAACTATTTTAAGAGTACTTAAGTTGAGTTTTTATATATATATATATATATATATATATATATATATATATATATATATATATATATATATATATATATATATATGGTAAGGTTGATGTGTGTTTTCTCGCACTTAAAATAGATCGTAATATAGTGATGTAAGTACGAGTATCGTTTCCACAGGGACGGACAAAAGGGAATCAAGAATTAATTAAATTCAGCGATTAAAAAGAAAATAAAATAAAAGCGTCGTGCGAGATTGGTTGGTTTGGAAAATAAAACTAATGCGAACAATTAAACTAGGGGGTTCTTTCTAATTAATGACGAAGGGAACAGGGATCGATTCCGGGGTAACCAGATTTCTGGCAGATCAGGCCTAATTACATGAAATTAATTTAATTGAGCCTAGCTAATCATTACTAAGTTCTTACCGCTCTCGCGGCGTAGAGTACAATAATTTAGGGGACCAGGCTGATCTCTCATGCGACAGGATCCTAAATTATTTCCAAGACGAGCGAGCTTACGGCCCCTTAATCGCTACTAATCTCTTAGCGAACGATTAAGTGTGTGTGAATGTGTCCTAGAACAAATTAGATCTCTCTTAATTTATTCTACATGCAATTGTAATTCTAGTCGCGATTCTAGGTTACAAAAGATATCAATTAAATTATTCAAACACAAATTAAACGGCATTCATGCAATTAAACCGAAAAGAATCTAGCCGTACATCATGATTAACCCCTTCATCAATCCCAAATCCCTAATTAAAACTACTCACAATTCATAATTGAAGAATCAATAGAATTGGAATAATTAATTGTCATTAATTAAAAAGGTGGAACTTACAAAGAATCCCAAAAGATTGATGAACAAGGCTGAAAACCTTTAAAATTCGTGCTAGGCACTCTCTCTAAGCTCCCCCTTCGAAAACGGGGGTTTACAGGCTGTTTTAAATAGAAAAATCGGGTGAAATTTGAGTTGAATTAGGATTTTCGGAGCCAGACACGATGTCAGGCACGATCGTGCCTTCGATCGTGCCTCCGGAGCAAAAACGCGCATTTTGGACAGGCACGATCGTGCCTCCCTCCAGGCACGATCGTGCCTGGCTGGCAGTAACTCCTCGGTGTTTTCTCTTCACGCACGATCGTGCCTGACTTTGAGGGCACGATCGTGCCTACTTAACTTCCGAATTTGACAAAACTTCCTTCATGAAAGTTGTAGATAATGAAGTCCTCTATCCACCCCAATTTGCCGAATGTTATGTGAATCATCCAATCAAGAGATATGATCAAAACGGTGGAAGGTGTCATTCTAAAACCGCAGCAGAGATCATTTGACTTCGTCGTCTGTTTTCACCTTCTTCCTCTCAGATACTCGCAAAGATGTCTTCATATGATTTGTAGCCCTTGAAGTTGGATTTCCTATGAAACTTGAATCGTGTCCATTGGTTGTTCCTACAAAGAGATAAGCTTGAACGATTGACAGAAGGTCATTCTGATCGTCATTTTCAAGCTTCATTCATCTTCTTTTGATCCCGAAGCCAATCCTAGAGCTCTTTTGTCATCAAATCTTCATCGTGAACCTCCCGGTGACCTCCAAAGCTCTCAATTCACTCTCGAATGCATCTCGAATCATCCCGATTTCTCCTCAAGTGCCAGTGCCGAACTCTAAATTCCTGATTTTGACTCCAAATGACACAAAACTCGAACCAACGCCTGTTAAACATAACTTGAGCTAAAATTGAGACTTGTGACACCTTAAAGATAGGAAAACCATTAAAAACCGATATCAACACACATCAAATGCGTGTCTAAATATGGACTTATCAAGGTTCAAGTGAGAAGAACCCTTTGGGTGAGAAATGAGAATGAATCTCAGCCATTGGATTCGACTAAGTTGCAGTAAAAGACACTTCATGATGCACTGAAATATGCAATCTAGCACGGTGGCATTTCTGAAAATACTTCTGAAAAATCCGTATTACACGTGTCTAGTGCAACATGAAGCTATTTCGGTGCAATGCCGTCAAATATTAGTGCAACATGAAACAGTTTTAGTGCAACATGTGCAAAATTTGAATATTACTGCAACATAAAGCCAATTTTAGTGCAACTTCGTAAATCCAATGGCTGAGATTCATTCTCATTTCTCACATTAGATGTATTTCTCACCTGAACCAAAATATATATATATATATATATATATATATATATATATATATATATATATATATATATATATATATATATATATATATATATTACACATATATTAAGATGCATTAAAAGAATAAAATTCCTATCTACCTCATAAAGTCACTTTTGAACTCTGGGGAGTAAATGTACATACCAAATTGTATGCAGACATGGACATGTGCCGCATATATAATTATTATGAATATTGAGGCAACAATTTAAATGGATTAGATGATAGTCATACTTCTAATTATGAAATATCTTACTCGGTTAATAATATTGAAAGGAAATTGTCCTAAATAGGAGTAAAAACGTTCTGCAATGTAAAAATAGGAGTTCTATATTTTAATTCTCGGAATAGCAGTCATTACTGCAATGATTGAAATATACTGCCACTAATGACAGCAAATATTGTCATGTTACTTCTATTTCAGGAAGAAAAACATAACAATCATATTTTGGAATTCTCAAACATTTTTACTCTTATTTCGGTAACTTTCCCTAATATGAATGAACTTTTGCAATTTCGGATAAGTCTATAATAAATATCTCAATTATAAGAAATTGGGAATAGAAATCAATTATTTGATTTGAAGAAGAAAATAGATCCAAGAAGAAACAAACCTTTGGTGAGGTGAGGCATCCAAGTCAGTACAGAAAGCTTCAACATCTTGAAGTGATGCCATGTTATAGAGCCCAAATGCTTCATACAGAGGATCTCTCAAAGTTGGGGCAATATAACCACTGCCATGAATAACATGCTTGTTTCTCTTTTTTATCTCCTCTGGAAGATCAAACAGTGACTTCACCACTTGTATCATATCCAACATGAGTGAAAGTGACAAAATGTTGTGGAAGTTGACAAGCCTGAAGCAACCCCACTCCTCACATACCTCTATCAGTTTTTTTTATTGTGCTGGGAAGTCATGCAAGTCTATCACTGGAACCATGTTCTCCTTGTTGCTTCCCATTTGATATGTTGGACTCTAAATTTGGGGTGAGAAACTTTTTGGCTGATTTTTAGAGTAAGCACTTAATTATAATCATCTTTCATCATCTACACTACATGGAATAACACTTGAGAGCCTCTTCACTGTTTTCCATTTTGGAAAAGAGCCACCTAGATGTGTTGATGTCCATACGCATGCTCATAAGAATAAAAAAGTTTCGTATTTTGAAGCCTTTGATGTGGATTAGTGAATTTTTCTAGAATCTAAGAAAACGTCTAAAAATGTTAAGAAATAATATACAAAAACATTTTGAGAAAATAACTGGATATTAGTAAAAAAAAATGAAGACATTAATCTAATTCACTTTACCAAAACAACCTGGTAAAAATTGTTTTTATTCACAAAAGTTACATGTAAAAGGTACGTAGTATAATCCAATTGAAATATTCCCCCATTTTTTAAGAATTCTATTTAGCTATACTTTTATCCTATTAGCACCCTAAAGGGGGAAAAAAATTAAAAACTTGTCTATCTCCATTAATTATTTTTACTCGATAGTCGTTACAAACTTACAATATAGTACCGCATTAGATACTCTCTGTATCACATTATTCTCATTTGCAGATAATTATTGTACATTTTATAAAAAGTACTACGTAACATGTTTTTGGTAGTGTAGCGGTACTGTAACTGCTTTTAGGGTGAATGTCCTTCCAAAAAGGAAAATGAGACAATTAATTTGATACGTCTAAAAAAGGAAAGCGAGATAGATAAAATGATACGGAGAGAATATCTTCTACTCCCTCCGTCCCTTAAAACTTTGTCACATTTCCTTTTTGGGATGTCCCAAAAAACTTTGTCACTTTCTCTTTTAATCAATTATTTTGTGATTCGTGTTATTTCTGTCTCCTCTGCACAAAACTCAACCACACCGTTTCCACTTTATTATTCTCTGTGCCGGTCAAATTTGGCAAAGTTTTAAGGGACAGAGGTAGTAATTAAACAGGAGTAAAAAATAATTTGAAGCAGCAAAAAGTATTACGGTCTAAATTACTTTTCTCTTCTCAAGGGCCAGTTTGGTAATATCCAAATCAGCTGTATTGACTGATTCTACTGAAATTTATGAAGTTGCGACTGAAGTGGTTGGGTGATTTTGCTGATTTATGAAAAAAATGTTTAAAATATATTTTATAAATAAAATAAAGAAAAAAGTATTTGAAAAATAGTTAATGTATTGGGTGATATTTGACTTTGCACCTTATTTTTAAAATCATTAATGTATGCACCCCATTAGCCCAAAAATTGTGAAGGAGTAGGGTGCAAAGTCAAATGATTTTATAGGAAATTGGGGTGCATACATTAATGATTTTGAAAATAATAGCCTAATATTAAATTAGGAATCCTTTGTATCTTTGGAAACTTTTATCAGTATAAATATATCTGCCAGGTACCCTATTGGGTAACCTTTCCCATTATTTCACATGGTA